GGTGCCTTCCATGGGAGGGAGTCCTTCATGAACCTCTTTGACATGAGTCCTTCCCATGAGGTGCAGTCCCTTCAGAAGCAAGCTGCTTCAGCACAGGCTTCCTGCAGAGTCATGGGCTACTTCAGGAACAGTTGCCTCCCCTGGCATGGGGTCCTGCATATCCAAGTCCACAGGCTGCAAGTCCACATTTGCCCCTCCTGGCACCTTCAGGGGATGCTCTGTCATGTTCCTCTATGGGGCACAGGGGGACAAGCCTGCCGTCTCACTATGGGCTGCAGGGGGACTTCTGCTTGCGCATCCCCTTCATCCTTACCAGCCTCAGGATTTCCACTCCTGCACTGCTCTGCTCCTATCCAGCTCAGCTGTTCTTTGCTCTCTCTGCTTTCAGCTTTTATATCAGTTCGTTCATATGTTAATTGCAGAGACACATCTGTTGTCTCTCTAATGGCTTGGCCTTGGCCACCTGAGCTGGGGAAGCTTTCAGTAGCTTCTTACAGGAGCCACCCCTGGGGCTCCTCCCCTGCTACCAAAACCATGCCAGAACCAGACCAGCATAATTGCCTAGGAAGGCAGTCTGGGATAGCAAGGACTGGGAGTTGCCTTTCATGTGAAAGAGCAGCTGAACTGCATGGAGTACTGCCTTCAGTCAGATGATAAGCCTAGCAAGAGTTTATGGGTTAAATTAGAGGGCAGAACAATAGGGGTGACACTACAGTAAGTCTTTGCTACAGACCACATGTGTAGGAAGAAGTAGATGAGGTCTTCAGATAACTGGAAGATGCCTCATATTTGAAGGCCCCAGTCCTCATGAGGTACTTAAGCTATCTCAGTATCTGGTAGAAGAAGCAACACAGTGGGAGACAGGCAATCCAAGAGGTTTCTGGAATGTGTTGATGACCACTGGTAATACAGGTAATTAAGAAGGAAGGCATTATGCTTTATCTCACACTTAGAAACAAGGAAGAACTGCTTAGGACATAAAGACTGGGGGCAACCTTGGCTGCAGTGACCATGGGATAGTGGCCTTCAGGATCCTGAGAGGAAGGAATAAGGCAAAATCGGAGTAACAGCCCTGGACTACTTAACACTGTTTTGAGCAGGGGAGTTAAACTAGGCAATTCTACAGTTACCTTCATCCATCACAAGTGACTATCCACATTTGAATATGGGCCTGCACTCTTTGCTTGTCTTTCTACAGTTCACCTCTGCTGGATGTGTTGGCTTCATGTCTGCTTGGGGAATTCACCCATTTAGCCCTAATCCATCAGAGCACAGGGCTAGACAGGAAGGTGTACAATAAAGCTGAGGTAATGTAGTAGCTTGCAGTAGCATACAAAAGGGCAATTCCCCCTTCCCCCTGCTCTCAGATTCTGCTGCTTACCCTGTACAAACTCTGGCAGACCCATTTCATAAGCTGACTCAGTACAGAAGCTGGCAAGAAAAAGCTGGCAGAAATCTCACCTAGCAAAAAGCAGATAGTTTTCTGCTGGGGTAATGAGCTGAATTAGCTCAGTGAGGCTCTAATGAGGGCTAGATTATTAGTCCCCCTGCTCATTCTTACAATGTTCTAGCTCTTTTATCTACCCTCAGTGTAAGTGGGGTGCTCCCCTAAGGGCATAGTCTGTGGTCACTTCAATGCAGCAAGAGTGAAGAATTACTAATGAGGAGTTTTGGGTCAGTACTCTGTCACAAGAGCAATTGTGTAAATAGTTAAGTCAAGCTGATTTTTTTTTTTTTTAGAGGAGCATTTTATCTATCTAAAGACAGATAAAGAGGTGGCAGAGATTGTCCTATTGTCCTCAGTACATCTTTAATTTAACTTGATCTTTGTTTAATGGATATGGCTTGTAGAAGGAATTTAATCAGTGAATCTGTTATTTTCTGAATTTTTTCTCACCCTTTCTACCTAGCATTACTAAGGAGAAAAGCTTTCTATAGTTGCTGTTTAATTTGGGTAATTTGGGAATCTTAAGCAGATGAAACTGAATTCATTTAGCATAACTTCGATAAAAACTTGATGCAGTAATATCTATTATATATCTATTATAGCTCTATACAGTAGATGGAGCTTCTAATCTTGGAAGCTAGTCCTCCATATTCTTTAATTTTACAATAGTCTGCATAGAATAATTAACAGAGCAGTGATGCGACATTGAAGAATCTGGATAGTTCTGCTAGTGTTAAATTTTACTCTTTTTAATTTTGTCCTGTGTCCCTGGATTGTTGTTCTGTCTAGTCTGGGGAGAGAAGAGGCATGGTAAGGAATGGAGGCTTTCACATCTAGGCTTTTGAGAGCAGTATTAGATGGGTTTGGTCTTTTGCCATCACAGTATGGTTGTAGACATGAAACATGCATACAGAAAATTGTTATGGTATCACATAGACTAGGATTGACTTCAGAACAAGATAAATAAGCATTTATGTAGCAATAATGTTCCTTTAAAGGGGCTCACATAAACAAATCTGAACCTATAAAAGGAAAGATGGATGTTTCGCTATACAGAATGTTTTTTCCTTGAATAGCCAGTGTCTAGACAGTCTTGCTAGACAAGGTAGGCAAGTCTAACAATTCAAGTCCTGTCTGTGCTAGGGAACAGAAGTGGCTAAACTCACTATGCATGTTAATATTCTATTCAGAGTGTGTGCTAGTAGTTATGTTACTCATGATAAAATAAAACTTGTTGCTGAACATCCAGCATTCCATAAGCAGATTTTCTAGGAAACACATTCATAAAACAAGAGTTAGCTGCCTAATGTAAAAAAGTAAGTATTATCTGAATCAATATAACTTAGAAGTTAAGATAAGATACATTTCCTTAGTGTGATATCTCTGAGTAGTTTTCTTAATGGATGTACTGAAATGCTTGTTAATACTTAAGTGGCAAGCTCTACAGTTTGGTAGATGTTTGTAACAGTTATTCTCAGTATTTTTCAGCAGTCTTTTCTTCTCAGTTAACTCATGGAATTTTAAAATAAAATATTGAACTTCTGGAGAGCATTTTGACCCTGCCTTGTGCAATACTGATGGTTAAAGTGTGTAGTGAGTCAGATCAGGGAACCAATCTGGCTGAAATCTGATTTAGCCACATGGGGAAGAGGGATGAGGTCTTGAATGTCTCAAGTGTTTCAAAGCCTTAGTATATGCAGATGTTGGGAGAAGCAGTTCTAACTTAAATTGGTGGTGGTGCTTTGATAATGTAGGAAGTTTTTAAATTCTTGGTCACCACTCTAATTTTTTATTTAAATTTAAGCTCTGGTTACCTGGGATACCTGTGTTAAAACAGTGGATGTCTAAGTCAGGAAATAACTTATTTAAATAAGCAGGTTTTTAAAAAAATAATTTAGAACCAGATATATACTTTTCTGACAGAGAGCAAGTCTGACATGAGTAGCTTAAAATATCTGCATTGCTGTTTGAGAGACAAAACAATTCCTTCCTCCAGTAGAAAGTGTTTAAAACTGAGCATAGAAAACAAAATGGAGAAAATAAGCCAGTGATAGTGTATGTCCAGTTAAGAATGCCTTTCACACAGGAGAGAGCCAGAGGGCAAAGCTATGGGGAAAAGGAAGCACCTTTTCACTAGTCTCTTCTAGTGCAAACCAACATACAGTGGTGATGAGAAGCAGTGGAAATCTTTGAGAATGGAAACAAAAATTGAAGCTGTGGCTTCAGAGCCCAAACCACAAAGCTATTGCTTACCTGGTGCTGACTTAATTAGAAAAGGAAAAATCCTCAGTCCAATTTCTCCAGGGTATATAACTGCAAGTTAATATACCTATTTTTATTATTCTGTTCTGTATGTGCTGGTCACACAACAGTAGAGAAGCCTTAAGGGGACATCCAGATACTGACATGTCTTTAGTGCTATGGGCAAGATGTTGTCATCAACATGAAGACTAATATTGCAGAATTGTGAACTTATATCTCTCAGTATATCTTGAGACAAGCAATATGGAACCCACTGGCTAGGTTTGCACTGCTTTGAGGCTTATTTAAAACTTTCTAAGGGCCTTGTTGATGTGAGCTACAGATGCAGAGCTGTTTGTCTAGACCTGTCTTGCAGTTATTTTAAGATCTTGCACACAGCTGAACTCCTGAATGTTTAGAGCAGTGTTGTCTCAATGTGGGTTGGGAGTGACTTTATTTCATATTGATTATTATTGGACATTGTACATGACTCCTAGCAATTTATAAAAGAAAGCTGGCATCAGTAGTTCATAGACACACAGGTTAGCTTCTATTAAAATTAACTCCATAATGTACAATGTGTCTGGATTTAATAGTAATGCTTATTTTAACATTATGCTTGGACTTTTGATCTTGTCTTTCATTCCTTTGAAACAAGGTGATTGCTTGGCTTCACGAAACTAGATTTAGCCAAAGCAGAGCAGATCCTATTATTCATAGGTAGACTTCTCGGGTATAAGATACTGCCTGAATTCTTGGTCTCTTCAGAATGTTCTGTTCAGAGTTAGAGGTTTTTTTAAGTATGTCAATTGTCACTTTTCTGTTTTACAAATTGTTAGGAGCAAGTGAAGAGTACTACTGCAGAAAGACCTAAAAATTGAGAGAAATAAGTATTCAACAAATATCTTCAACTAATAACAAACCATTATTAAAAATTAATCTGTTACATACACAAAATCAACATGCCTGGAAAACTAGGGCTTAGTTGCAGAAGTAGTAAGCTTGCAAAGGCTACCAATGTACTCAGGATGACTTACTAAACTACCAAAATTAAATACAGAAATCTGTATATATGTACTTTGCATATTACTGTGAAATGTTTAAAACTGAGGTTGCTGGTAATTGTGATGTTTATACAATGAAGACACAAGCTGGACACTTACTATGATACATTTTCTGCTTTCGAGTGATTGTACTGATCAGCTTAACAGTCTCAAATCAGCTATAGTTGTTAAGACAAACTGCTGTCCCTAACAATGAATTTTGTGTTTGTTTTTTTAATATATAAATGCCTATAATATTTTTATTGTAGGTAAGCAAGTGAGAACCAAACTGTCACAGGCCTTTAATCACTGGCTGAATGTTCCAGAAGATAAAATACAGGTACTGGCTAATTATTTTTAAAAGACTGTTAGCTTTCTTCCAAGGTTACTGATAACAGATGATTATCTCACATAGCATAAGTGATCAGAAATCTCTGAATGCACTGATTTCTGAATGTATTAAAGTAAACTTTCAGGAAAACAACTTCAGTGCAAAACTTTGACTGTGATGTAACACTTAAGTCACTGAAGTAATTTCTTTATCTTACATAGAATAGTTACTTCTTTCCAAGTGTGCTCAACTTTAAGTTGAAGATAAGCAGCTACCATTGGTACCCACTTAACATGACTCAATTATTGACACTGAGTTTTCAGTGACTAATGAAAATTACCTTATGCACTACACAGATATAGTGGTTGTACCATACTCGACACTACCTCTTAAGTACTGCCCCTGTACTCAACACTCATGAGGCTGCACCTCGAGTACTGTGTTCAGTTTTGAGCCACTCACTACAAGAAGGACACTGAGGTGCTGGAGCAAATCCAGAGAAGGGAAACAAAACTGGTGAAGGGTCTAGAGCACAAGTCCTGTGAGGAGCGACTGAGGGAACTGGGGTTGTTCAGTCTGAAGAAAAGCAGTCTGAGAGGAGACTTTATAACTCTCTTCAGCCACCTGAAAGGAGCTTGTAGCAAGGTGGGTGTTGGGTCTCTTCTCTCAAGTGATAAGTGATATGATGAGAAGAAATGGCCTCAAGTTATGCTTGGGAAGGCTTATTAGGATATTCCTAGGATATTAGGAAGAATTCTGGCATTCCTTATAGAACATATTTTAGCCTAGATCATTTGTCTTTGTGTAGTTTATTTAGATGAGTACAGTTAAAGATACTGTTCCTTGGTAGCTAATTTTGCTATTGGCTGCTACCATTTCACTTTTTTCCCAGCCAAGTGCTCTCATTTTTTTCACCACTTAACTGCATCTGCAGTGTTCATGTGGTGCTGCACCGAGACACTTGTTAAATTAGAGAACACTGAGTTGTCAGATGAACTTCTTAAGAAAGCACTAAAATGGCCTAGTACAGGGCTAAATAAATTTTAAGGCTATTGCAACTAAGGAAGTTGAAATCTGTTGGTGTGATAATGTAGCAGCCACTGATTAGTCAGTCTTAGGTTGTAAGAAAGTGTAACACTGTACTGGTTTTTCAACTTTCATTATGAAGAGCAGTCCTTTCATTTCCTCAGGCTACTTCCTGATGTCTTCTAAAGGAAACTATTTTTGTTGTCTGAACTTTTTTACTTCTTACTTTCAACTTTGAAGCATTTTTTATAGTCTTTTCTTAAGATCACAAAAGAACAATTAACACAGTCATGAAGCACTGTTTCAATTAAACCTTAAATGTCTAAAAGCTGCAAAAAGTCGTTAAACTGACAGTAATATGAAATAGGTTAGCAAGAGAAATGCTAAAATAGGTGTATTGAAGGAATTCACAGAATACAGGGGAACTTTCCTGTTATAGTACTGGGAATGACATATAATGAAGTGAAAGAATATTCAGACAAATAGGTATGGTAAAGTTTTTCAGTAAGTACTCTGTCCTCTGATTTAAAGTCAGTGGGCACTTTACAGGTCAGTGCTGCTTAAGTAGACTGTTCTTGTAGGCGTATCTTGGTCAAACAATTAGATTGCTGGCTTTTAATCTTGGGGACAGTGGTCACTGAACACTAGATAACTAGAACCTCAAAAAAATTCTTCCAGTGCAGTCCCTCTTACTTTTTCCTACAGCACCCACCAAATAGGACCATACCAGGTACTTGCCACTATTTAATGGTGGCCTTGGTATTTATTTAGGTGCAGTTTAGATGAATGTTGACTGAGTGCAGGGTTTGTAACTAGCAAGTGTAATTGGTTCATTAGCTTTAAAATAGCATCTTAATCAGGTATGTTTTGTAGTGATTTTTATGCAGAATGCAGTCCTAGATGCTTACATATATTTCCATTGAAGCAGGTGCTGAATATGCCTGTTTCTTGCATAGCAGCTGTGCATTAAAGAGAGTATGTAGTGTTAAAACCTTCTAGTTGAATTGTCCTGCTTTGGAATAAAATGCAGTCAGCTACAAGCTTGATGGTCTCAAGAGTTTATTATGTACCTCAGCTGGTATATGATATCTGTACTGAGGAACTAGTAAGTGTGTAGAAAGCTTCCCAAGAGAAGTTGTAGCTGTTGCCTTTCTGCCAAGGATTTTCTAAATGACAGTTCAGAGAGAATAGTCTATATGTTAAGAGCTTGGTACTGAAGATAATTGCAGAGTGTGAGGAAGGATTTTTCTCCACTTATGAAAACAAGGTTTATGGGACAAATGTGTTAATGGATGATACCTAACACTCTCGAGAACTGACTTTGGGGGATCTCAGAATAGTGAATCTAAAACATGTCACAGCGTGTTGCTTTTCTTTTCTTCTGTTTATGTTTCTAATAACAGTTACTGCATGACTCCTAGACAATAGCATATTTTTGGACTGTAGCAACAACAAAGAGGAATGTGCCAATGGAAACACTTTAAGTAAATTCACTTTAGTCTGAAAAAAAAATCACACAAAAGATGTGATGATCCAGGATGTACAGCAAACTGGCCGATGAAAAGAATCATATATCTCTATTAATTTTTAAAAAGTGGTGTAGAGGGGAGCCTTAGTGATAGAGAATAAAATTCTTTAAAACTTTATCCATTTTAAATAAGGTCTTGCAAAACTGGAGATTAAATTACAGTGAGAGACTTAATTTTCTCTTCTTGTAATAGGTTATCATTGAAGTGACAGAGATGTTGCACAATGCAAGCCTACTTGTGGATGATATTGAAGATAACTCAAAGCTACGACGGGGCTTTCCAGTGGCACACAGTATCTATGGAATTCCATCTGTAATCAACTGTGCTAATTATGTGTATTTCCTTGGCTTAGAGAAGGTTTTAACCCTTGATCATCCAGATGCTGTTAAAGTTTTTACCCGTCAACTTCTGGAACTCCATAAAGGTCAAGGCTTGGATATTTACTGGCGGGATACTTATACCTGTCCTACAGAAGCTGAATATAAAGCTATGGTACTGCAAAAGACAGGTGGTCTCTTTGGACTAGCTGTAGGCCTCATGCAGCTGTTCTCAAATTATAAGAAAGACTTAAAGCCACTCCTTAACACACTTGGCCTCTTCTTCCAAATAAGAGATGACTATGCCAACTTGCACTCCAAAGAATATAGTGAAAACAAGAGTTTCTGTGAAGACTTAACTGAGGGCAAGTTCTCATTCCCAACCATCCATGCAATTTGGTCAAGACCTGAAAGTACTCAGGTGCAAAACATTTTACGTCAAAGGACAGAGAACATAGATATTAAAAAATACTGTGTACATTACCTTGAAAATGTGGGTTCCTTTGAGTACACTCGGAATACATTGAAAGAGCTTGAATCTGAAGCCTATAAACAAATTGAATTGCTTGGGGGAAACCCTGAGCTTGTAGCACTAGTTGAACAGCTTAGCAAAATGTTCAAAGAAACTGAAAATTAAAAACTTAACTGCTGGCGGTGGATTAAAACTATTTTCAAAAGGAGGAAAATAACCAAACTTCACTTTTATTCAAGCATATCTGCAAAATTTATAGTAAAGATGCAGGTTAAACCACATGAGTCCTAATAGTGTTCCTCACCTGTGTCCTATGGAACAAACAAGTTCTCACTCAACTCATTGAAAAGGCATTTATTGAGCATCTTGGTTTACTATAGAATAGCAAGTGGTGGAAGATACCCCAAGGAGGCCTGAAATGATGCTTCTAGGGAGAGCACTGCAAAACTTGACATTAATTTTTTGTGGAAGACTAACTGATGTGAAGGGAAAACACAATTTTTTGCTTTTGAACTCCAAAACAAACCATGAAAATACATTCTACTTTGGTATATGAATTATACTGTCAGTAAGCAGTTGCATCTTTTCTTGATCATAGTTTCGGTCTCTTCATAAAATGATTCAGTTATTTCTGGAGCATGTGATGTAAGTTAATCATTCAGTGATTATTGAAGTCTGTAAAAAGGAAAAGTGGCATACACATTTTTGGTTATGCTGTTTTGAAATCACAAATTGGTTTGTTCTCTTGCTCTTATATAGTATATGTTCTGCATTAAACTTATCTGAGTGAGGTAAACTTTTCACCAAATCAAGTTATTAAAAATCAGGCCAACACCAAGGCCATGTAAACAAATTAAATGGAAAAAAAAAAAAAGATAGTGTTTGCAAGGAAAAAAACCCACAAAGTTACTGAAAAATAGAATTGCAGATAATTGTGAAGTTAATACATGAAATATAGAACTAACTGCCACAGTGCTTCTATGGCTTTAAATAAAGAATGTACAGATAGGGTGTAAAAGTCAAAAACTGCAGAGAGGAATTGTCGTTGCTATTCCCAGAAATGTAAAAACTGTGCTATAATCATGTTATTTTACAACAACCAAAAAATGTTCAATAAATTCTGAAGTCAAAACCTTTTTCACTTAAGTGCTTATTAAATGCAGAAGCTGCAATTCTAGGTAACAAGGTGAAAATGTTAATGTGATCTTGTTGTTCTCTTGGCATTGGGACTGTCCTGTATCTTGTCAAGTACATTTGATGAACTATAGCTATTTGTTGATGACAGTGTTAACACAGAAGGATCAAGAAATGCAAAGAAGTAGAAAGAATAATCAGTAACTTATGCTATTGTTATAATTTTAGAAATACTGAATACATAACTTCAAAAACATGCATGTAGATTCTGCATTAGATTCATGCATGTAGATTCATGTATGTAGAATGGCTGCATTACCTATCAAACATGCTGCTGAGGCCAGAAAGACAGTGAAAAGTGTTTTCTTGTCTTCAACACCTTTCCTGGCATTCAATCGACGTGGAGTGTGCTCTCAGGTTTGTGCTCGGGAACAGTGAATGAGTCTGAAAAGGAGAGCAAGAGGACTTACGCCATTGTTTCTGCTGTCAAGCTGGTGCCACTATAGCTTCAGCATCTTTCAAAACTGGAAGAGATTGTTCCAAGGGCGCCCTCTGTGGGACTTGAATGGGATCAGGAACCCAGATGAGAGAACACCAGCACCACGACAGACATGGCAGAAGGCCTTTGGTAAAGGCTCCCTGTGGGGAGCAGCTGCTTTATACCAGACAGTAAAGCATGCTCATGAGGCCTGTTGTTTTAAGATCTAAGTCATCGTTGTGCCAAAGAATGTATGTATTATCCAGTTTAGTTTGATTGGAATATGCTAGTGTTACCAAATACCTGTACTTTATTTCTGTAATCAGCATAACATAATCAGCAAAAAGAGCTATCATGCTGCCTGCCAAAAGGGTTCAGAGTTATCTAATGTAATGGAAGTAGAGGTATGGACCTGAAGTAGCTTCTCAGTTTCTTATTATTGTGATTGTTTCAGCCTTTGTGGTCCCAAAATTAAATATCTATTTTGTTTTGAAGCACATCAGAGATGAACAAATGTGGAAAATGTCAACTAGGGTACTTGGATCTTATAGCCACAGAACTGTGTGAAACTATTCAATCTTGTCATATGTGTCCCTGTGAAGCTCAACAATTGCTACTTTAAAAATACAGCCAAGTCTATAACTTTTTGCTGTTAATCTGCACACATTGGACATCTCCATTCTTTTTTTATGAACTGTTTCCTAATTATGGTTATGGTTTCTAGTTATGGTTATGTTTCTGCTCTGGACCCTCTTCCAGTTAACTGATTTTTCTCAAATAGTGGATGTTGAAATAAATGCAGCAACAAATGTAGCACTGGTGAATACTGAGGTGATTCAGCTTCTCTGTTCTGTACGGTTGCTATGTAAAACCAAGCAGCACGAGTTTCCAGGGGCAAATGCTGCACCAGGGAACTCGCTGCTGCTCAGCAATGTTCCTGTGTTCAATCCAGTCGCTGTCTTCCCACGGTGCCCCAGCCTGGAAACGCAGCCTGGTTGCCCGTGTTAAACCCACACCTCGCAAGGCAGACAAAGGCACTTCGCTTCCGTGCCTCTGAACGTGCCAAACAGGGCGGGTTTCACTGCCATGGGTTGAACAAACCCGGCAGGGAGGCACAGCCACTTCAGCCTGGCAGGATCCCGTCCCGGCAGCCCCCAGTGCTGAACCCAGTGCTCTGTTTTAATTACTAACCGCCCACGCGCTGAAAAACCCACACCTCGCAAGGCAGACAAAGGCACTTCGCTTCCGTGCCTCTGAACGTGCCAAACAGGGCGGGTTTCACTGCCATGGGTTGAACAAACCCGGCAGGGAGGCACAGCCACTTCAGCCTGGCAGGATCCCGTCCCGGCAGCCCCCAGTGCTGAACCCAGTGCTCTGTTTTAATTACTAACCGCCCACGCGCTGAATCAGTTATACCAAGGTCTTTCCTGACAGATGTGCGGTCTATGTTCCACACGCTTCTTTGCAACATCCGCACGGTAGCAGTGTGCCGGGGGTGCTTTCTTACCGCCCCGCTACCCCACCTCAGACCTGGGGTTACCCTCGGGCTGTCCCCGGGCCGCCCCAGATCGG